TAGCTGGAGGCAAAAACCTGGCGTGAAGAAGTTCAGCCTAAATTATTAAATTTGGCAAATTTAGAAGCCAGTGTAAGAGATAATCTTAAAAGGGGAAGTTTTGGATGACCTTAATGCTCTGCACTGCAGCTTGTGGTGTCTCTAATAGGGTATTTCCAGAGCATCTGAGTGTCTTCCAGTAGTGCATTAAGCAATGTAACTAACATCTGTCACGAGGTTCATTTTCCCCTCTCATCTCCTCCCTGGAGGGAAATTCTCTCATTTCTCTTAACCTTTACTGGACCCCCACTCAATAATGTTCATTACCTCAAGAGAAAAAGGAAAAGCCTATTAAAAAAAAAGGGGCGGGGGGAAGAGATAATGGATCTAAGACTCAGGCTGCTTTGGTGACATTTTTAAAGTCTTTTTTGCCAAGAAAAACAGTAATTTCTTTTCAATTTCTTTACATAATATTTAAGCATTGAAAAGGAAAGACAAGTTAAAATTATTGAGCTATTTTTCCTTCACCCATGATTATGCAGCAATTTATCAACAGAATGGAACAAGAACATCTGACTGGGATTATTTATTATACAGTAAGGCATTTATTTTTTGTTCCCTTCACCAGGAACACTGTCCCTGTTATGGCTAGTTAGCCATCTGTGTCCTAAGAGCTTTCAGGGAAGGATTAAACTGTCATTTGTTTTATTTCCTTTCATGAAATAACTATCGTAACAGGACTGAGGCAAGACTTGGATATTGCTGGACTTGCTACCTTAAGGTGGCATGATAAAGAGTGACTGGGTCTTCCCTGGAGCTAAAGCAAAGCAGCTAAAAGTTGGGGGTTTGGTTGTGTTCTTTTTACTCCTTACACTCAGTAACATGCAATATTGCTACTGAAGTGCTCATACCTAATTGCACAGATTAGGCAAAGCCTACACCATGCTAAGACAAAAGTGGAATTATCTGTGGATTCCCCCCCCAATCTGATTAATTTGCAACGTTTAGCCAACATGGTTTGGGTTTAAGCACTGAGAGAATCTGTAGCTAATCAGGGCTGGAAGCAGGAGGCTGACAAAAATAAACAAAGGAAGAGGTACGCCATGTCCTCTGGGTGGTGAGGCTCTACCAGCCTCACCCATCGATTCACAACCCCACGCACAGAGGGCTGGCACCGTTCTTGTGAGGATGATCGTGGCATGTGGCATCCCTTCCCCATCTACAGCTCCATAAGCAGGTCTAAAAACTTCTAGCACTTCCGCCCTGGAAAGAACGAGCAAAATAAGCCACTTGATTCAGAGAAAGATAATATGTGGCCTCACTAAGAGCAAACGTGGGAAAACTATTTGCTCAAAGAATGTACCTTGCGGCTATTGCCAAAGGTTTTGACGGGTGTATCTGTGCTCTGGATAGCTTTATGGCTGTGCAGTGGAAATTGCTCATCATGAATGATAACATCTACATTTCTCTAACACCTTTCGTCCAGAAATGAAAAGCACTTTTCAAAGAATGGGACAGATTTTGAACGCTTGATGCCAGCACCTACTTATGTCACACTTTTACTGATCGATTTTTTTGAAACAACTTGGTAGCCAAAGCCCTCTGGCATTCACTGTGCTGTAAGTGACAACTGAGGTCTCTTAAAATATGTGACCTTCACAGCATTTCACTGCTGAAGTGCAACTGCCTCTGGGGTGGAAGAAACACACCCTGGAGTGGCTGGCACCAGGGCTGTGCTGAATCTCAGAGGGACAGTTTAGACAAGGAGGGCGAGCCCTGCTCTTACAGCAGGTGCCAAACATTTATAAGGATCAGATAATGGCTTTTCTCAAGGTCTTGGCTTCGAGGACCATATATAATATTGAAGTGAATTCCATGTATCACCTTTGACAGAAAGAGCTGATCTTGAGTGAGTGGGAGTTAAAGAACCAGGTATTACACATGAGCCATCAACTACAGCTATGCTGTCCTGACACAGAAAACAGCACTATTACAGGAGCATTAAAATACTGACATCTATGGGGTGTTAAACATTTCTAAGTTACAATAAGAAGAAACCCATAAATAATATCCATTCTTCCCTAAAATTTCCAACATGACTGGTTCACAGCAAGAACCAGTTCAGATTTCTGCCCATCGTTGTTCATGTGCTATTTACTGCAGTCCCAAAGTGGGACTTGCTGCAGTCCCTGTGCTGTGCCTGGACTGGCCTGCAGGACATCCCCAGTACGATGCCAGGGATGAAGGGGAAGAAGCACCCACAGAAAATTAATGGTATAAGGACTGTGAGCAGTGAAACACCAACTCTTCACATCTGTCCCTGGGAATCCACAGAAAGATCATCTTGCTGTTGCAAGCTCACCCATGTACACACAGGCCCCTCCAATTCAGTTGTTACTACAAGGATTTCACCAGTGACCCCAGCGTGACAGCACAGTACCTCCTGCTCAAATTTTCTGAAGCTGCTCTGCTTTCTAATTCCTGTTATGTTTCTGTCGTACTTGAAACAACCTGGTCACAAGCTGCAGGGTTGCATCTCCACAGAGCTGTGATGAGGCTCCTGTATGTATAGGAGCAACAAATTCTCCTGATCAGTTCCCAGGCAAACAAAAGCCAAAGAAGAACCAGGACACCAACGGGAGAAAGTATTTTTTTTTCGCAGGAATACGATTATAATGTATGTAGACTGCCTCCATTTACCCCCCTGAATTAAAATTATCTTTTGCTTATGCTCTTACCTAAGAGTGCCTGTTACAATGCACAGCAGCTCCTGTAGCTCTGCTGGTGCTCTCTTCTTGGCCTGCAAAGCTTGCATGGTCAGAGCACAGAGTGCAAGATCAGCCTAATTCACCCTCAAGCAAATCTATTTGTTTATTTATTTTTATTTTCCATCCCCTGACCCCAGTCTGTAACTTCTCTAACATCTCACTACTACCCTGTCAGTAGGGAATTAATATATAAAGCTGCACTAGGATTTGGAGTTATGGTAGAGACTGAAGTTCTCAGTTATACAGAAAAAGCATTTGACTATCTGCTTTGGACTGAAATAATCTATTTTTAGAGAGGATTGGGGTTTCCAAGCAGTTAGTAGCAAGACCTGGGAATATGAAGTAGTTAAAATAATTTTCTTTTTAATTGCTACTTTGCAGCCTTTTCCTCTGACTTTGAGAAAAGCTTTGAGCTTTCTCTGTCCACGTAACTCTAAAATAGGCAAAGTTGGTTTATTTTATTAGGGAAACAAGACAATTCCTAGTATTCTTGCTGTGACTTTTACTCAGGGCAAGCTGAGAGAAGATGAAATCACTTTCTGAGAAGCAGTTGGCTTAACACGGGCAGGGACAGCGTCAGAATTTTATTTCTTTTGCTGACTTACACAGCCGAGAGTCCCTTGGTCTGCTTCCCTCCCACCCCTCTGTGTTACTGGGAACCTGCTAAGACACACACCTCCTGTGGGAGGTTTGGGCTTTTAAATCTGTGCCTTAAATGCCCCAACAGTTCTCTGAAAGTTTATTCCTATCAGGTCCTTAACCTCAGTTTCCTTAGGAAAATCACTGCAAGTATCTGCGTCCAGAAGCCTACTACAGAACATGTCTAAGAACTAAAGATGTTTCACCTCCACCCCTTGAAAACTGAATATTCTCCAAAAGCTTGAGATTTTTAGATTTAAAATTCTTATGTTTAGGCTGAAATTACAAGCTAATACCAACAATCATGTCATTAAGTCTGGATGAAAGGTTTTGGTGATGGGGAAAGTACATTCCAACACAGTTCAAAATAAAAATCTCAAAGGTTTGAGCCCCTCTGTCCCACACTCCACCTATTCTCCTTCTCCCTGTGCTTCTGCAGAAACACAGTAAAGAAAGAGCTGAAAAAAGCAAGAGAGAGAAAAAAAAATTTCTCTCCAAAATGCAAGCAAAATTAATGCATTTCAATCATAACAAGAGACTTATTTTCTGCACAAAATACAATTTGCTCTTTTCAACAGGCTCCAGCTGTGTAGGCTGAGAGCAAAGGTGTAAACACTTGAAGGCAAATACAGCTTGCATTTCAGGAATTTCCATTATTTTAATGGACTGCATTGATGAGAAATGCATTTGCACACTCTGAACTGCCAGTAACATTTTTGTTGTGGGATATACTTTGGATAATTCCTTTGCAAAAAGCATGGCCATATATTCATTAGAAATGGAAAGTCGTTCTGGAAGACCCAAGCTACGAAATGAATGGTATTTCAATAAATAAAGGTGGTATAAATTCAACATACTGATGCTCCAATTCATCATCCTCTAAGCTAAAATATATCATTCCTCTCTCCTTTCAATTCCCAGCCATGCCGTCCTCTTAATCTTAATTACAAATGGTCTGTCACTTATCAAATCATTCTCTGTGTACTGCACAATCCTCACCCTTAATTGCAAAAATATTTTATTTTTGGAACAACACAGCTCAGCAACAAGCTTCATTTTTCTTTCCATGACTCAGTCTCTATTAAAGTAAAGCATTTATAAAAGCTCTGGGCGCACAGAGAGAAAATTAGTTGCTCCTCCGTGGCTAACAGTTTTTAGCTAATCACAATGCAGCTCCACATCACCGCAGCGGAGCAGTGATTAGAACTGCGCCTGCAACAAAGCAACATTGTACACAGCGATGACGTGCTCCAGTCAAAAACGTCTCCCCTCTTGTTATGATTGGTATTCCCCAGATATTTGACTTTGAGCTCTAGGCTTGGCAGGCGAGGCTTTGTGGCTGCAATTCAAGTCCCAAGCTTGAGCAGCTCCAGTGTTTATTCTCATAATTTACACTTTGTGATGGCTTATGGACAGTTATGTGCTTGGTTTCATAGCCACCACTTCAAACCAAGGGCCTGATCTTGCCTTTATGGAGTTAGTGGTAAATGCTTCCCAATTCCAGCACTGGCAGGAGGCCCCGGATGACTAAATCATCTCTCAAAGCAAACAAGCCAATATAAAAGAACAATTTGGTCTACAAACAATTAAAAAAATGCCTGAAATCTTACTTACTAGGAAGTCTTCTTCACAGTACACCTTGCCATTGACATTGTAGAACGCTTTTCCTCGTAGTCTTCTCCCTGTTAAAATATGACACTGTCAGAATTATGTGCTCCATCCCCAGGTCCAGTCGTTCAGGATGCAGTGAAAGGCAGACCCTGCTGCCCGGCCAGTGCCCAGCCCCTCTGCTCCCTGGAGGGTCCATCCAGAGACACGGGGCAGGGGTGGGCTCTCAGCTCCATCCTGCCTTAACAAATTCCTTATCAACTAAACGTTACTTCTAAGTGCAGGTTATGGAACCCATAACCAGTTCCTGGAAATTGGATGATACCAGTTCCTGGAAAATTTGAAATACAAACCCCAAAATTATTATTTGGGGGGGAAAGGCTCCTTTGTAAATGGAGACAATTTTCTTAGCAGGAAGCAGGCACGCATCCACTGCAATCAACATCAGCGATGCGTTTGCCTCCAAAGGACCAGACAAGGGATACTGCATATGGATGTTCCTGTCACCTTTAAAAATATTAATAATCAATGCTGCAGCAGCTGCACCCAGAGCTCCCTGCGATACTAAAGCAGTACAAGGCACATGTGACAGAGGGAAGAGCAGAAAAATCACACTGAAAACGAAGAGTTCTCATTTTCAAATTTGAACATTTGCCATTTCATTAGCGCTTGCAGAACTCTATTGACAAAGCCTGTGGTCATCATTTACCGATGGCTCCCTTTACAGACAGAGAACAGCACCACAGCCTCCACAGAGTCCCAACAAAAAGGATTAAAACCAGGAATTCAGAAACCCCCCAGCCCAGATGGTTTTTAGATACAGCAGATCAGATCTGTCTTACACCAGAGCTGCTCCATTGAAAGCAACGCCATTTTATCAGTGCAAAACCGGAGGGAGAAGGGAAACCGCACTCATCCTCACCCACCTTATTCCCACTCTGCCAGGTCCCACTGGCCAAGGCTCCCAAACATTCGGGTGCTCTCACAAGCTGTTTGCAGCCTTGGCAAGCAGATGGCAGGGTGCCTACTATGGGCTGCTACCGGCTGCCATTAGCAGTGACAAAGAGCGAGGAAAAGGGCAAGAGGCTCTGTATTTACAGATCAACAGATGCAGAGGACCCTTCCTAGGTCACTGCCAAAGTTTTTACTCCACAGAATAAGCCTGGACATCTCCTATCGAAGCAGAGCAGCAGCTCCACCATAAACACCACCAGTCTTTGCAGAGGGTTTGACCCTGAGGGCCGGCGAGCTGGGCCAGCTGGCCAAGCACAGATGGGCAGGAGTGCTCTCCACGGTTTCCATAAACAATGTTGAGGAAAATATGATTAATTTTCAGTGCTTGAAAGTGCTTTTTACACGTTGCCACTGTGATCCGATCCTGGGAAACAGTGTGTGGCACAAAGAAGTTGGGATCTGGGCTGATGCTTTTGGGAAATCACATGTTGCATGTGGTTGTCTGGCGGTTTTACTGTCGTGGCCGAGGGAAATGCTTCTTTTGTGTGCACATTCTTGGGCTGTCGATCTCACGGGCTGCTGTCTCCATACTGCTGGTAGGTGGAGTCAGCTCTTGTTTGTCTTTCTTGCTGCGTGGTAGCTCTGGTGGGGACCAGGAGCCTGGTGGTGTGGGCAATGCACTGAGACTGTCCCATCTCCTCTGAGATTCTTAGGTAAAGCTGGCTCATCCTACACATCACCAGAACAAGGCACGGGGCTGGGACAGCCATCAGGCAGTCATCAGGCTTCTCTTGATTAATGCAGGAGCAACCCCTCTAGATCTTCCCTCCTTCTTGTCCAAGCTGTTTTTAAACCTCGCCAGTGAAAGGTAAAGGAAAAATAAATGCAATGGAGGAAAGAAAAGGAAAGAGGCCAGAATGGCTTTTTAAAGGACATGTTGGATCTGCCAGATCCAGCCTTAATACACAACTTGTCTTTAGATGGTGGAAATTAATTGGCTGTACCCAGACCAGGGACTTGCCTTGGACGTGCTGATGCAGCACTTCCACCTTGCTCACACACATCCCCACTGCAGAGCTGGGGTGTTTGTTTTGGGTGGAGATCCGCTGGCCATCACCCTCACCACACACCCATTATGGTTAGAAGCAGCAGAGATAATTAGGGACAAATCCTGAACTCCATTGCTAGAAGGATCTCCACAGGAAAGCAATGCCCTAATTCGAGGAGGTGTCAACATCTCCCGAGGCACCACAGAAGCTGCACGAGGACCCGAACATCCCGCTTTGTATCGCAGTGTGCAGAGCCTGGCAGTGCTCAGGATGACAGAAACACCCCAAATTCTGCTCCTGTTGTTTCCGTAGCACAGCATCACTGGCAGAAGCCAACAGGGTCAGAGCTTTCCCAGACGGAGTGGGAAGCCTACGACCCAAAGCAAACAAGGCAAAACCAATGTTTTGGAGTGGTTCTCAAAGACTCTTATGTTATCAGATGCATTTGGCAGCTGGTTGCCCTGTGACGTGACACAACGTCACCTCACCCCAGTGCAGCAAAGCTGTGATCCTCCATCTCGGCCACTGCAGAACCTGTGAGCCCCTGCCCACCGCTCACACCCAGCTCTGCAAGCCCCCCACCTGCCAAACGCAGACCGCTGGCCTCCCGTTCCGTACGGCTGCTGTGGTAAAAGTGTCTGTTTTACACAGCACCCGCAGAGCAACACCTTTCAAAAGTGAGGGAAAATACTATTTTTCCCATTTTACAGCTGAAAAAAACAAGCCACGTCTTAAGGGAACCAACTTGCCTAAACTCCAAAAGCAGTCAAGCAGCTTGCTCACATGATAATTATTCCTATTAGCAATAATTAATAAGATAGACAGGCCTTTTACCTTAGAGGAATTTCATTCAGGGATCATACAATAATTATCTCATAAACAAGAGACAGCAAGTTATCACACACACAGCCACGGCTGCACTATACAGGCTCCTACACACTGCACTTTAGAAATAAAGGCAAAAACATACATTCCATTTGCCCTCCAGAAGAGTTTGCTAAATGACAGCATTGAACACGGTCAAACACCAGACTGTAAGTGCCTGGGCATCACGTGAAAACTGCAATCAAGAGGAAAGTGCTGGCAGTTGCAGCCAGGGAGACACAAAGCCCAAGGAGATGTAGCGTTGGTCCCTCCCAGCCCCAGGGCAGCGTGCAGCAGGTTAGGGTACCTATCCCAAGCCAAAGACATGTACTGGACAGGACAGTTTCACCTCTCAAGGTCCTGGAGTAACCTGGGGGTTTGCACAGCACCAGCCTGTTCTGTGTAGCCGTAACCTATTATTGTCAATCAGGCAGAGATGACAAGTTAAAAAACCCCTGAAGTTGCTTTAGGCAGCTGAGTGAAGCGCCTGGCCAGCCAGACACGGTAATACCATCCTGCCCACTGGCACACAGAACCTGCTGCTTGGCTTCCCTCTGAATGGCTGAGCATAGCCAAGCGCAGGCTACTATTTGCTTTCATAATATTGAAACAAAAAAGTCAAGAGTTTCTGACAAAACTTGATGCAACTTGCCGACAGCTCATTATAATAATAATGAGCAGTTATAATGAGCAGCCTAGCGCAGAGTTCACAAGTATGGGGTTTCACAAACACTGTGCTGCTTTCCTCCTTCTGCTGGATACCCACCTTGGCACGCCCGCCCTGTCAGACCAGTTTTCCACAGCAGCGAGGAAGAGGCCCTGCTTACATCCCACCAGAAGAGCAGCAGGTTGGCCAGGAAAGCACAAGGGGACCACAGGACAAGGCAGAAGCCGCCCAGCCTGCAGCCACCTCACACTTTTATAGGGAAGCCCTTTCTGCCCCAAGTGCTGTTTAGAACCTTGTTTTACTGTAGAAAACAAAGCTTATGTGCTGACGGTGACAACAAATGCTTGTTACAAATAACTTTTACATTTCTTGACTGACACCCACACAATCAAGGGGTAGTGAGTGCCAGGATAAGGGTGTTCCACCACCTCAGGTGGGAAGCAGAGACCTTGCAAATGCTCCAGCAAGGAGTGCAAATTTTCATGTTGATAATCTAGCAGTTAGTAAAATGCAAGCTAGAAACTACTCTGTCCCAAGGAATGATCACAACTGGTGTTTGCAACCAACAAGACAAACATCCAAAAGAAAGCAGGCTTTTTGAACTTTAAAAGAAAACATTTAAAATCAGAATCAGCTCTAGGTTCTAAACAGCAAGTTTATGCATTTAATCAGTTTACACATCTCTGGTATTTAAATGTGTCTAGCAATTTCTTCCTTTACAATTTTTCTCCCCTATGTGCTGCAAACGCAAAGGAAGGAACAGGACTTTGCTTTAGCAAAGGATTCAGCTTGAAAAAGGAAAAATGACCCACAGTTGACACAGGCTGTCCACAACTATTCTCTTCAGTCTCCACAACACTTTGCTGGGTGGTGAAAACACACCAGTCAGGAAGCCAAAGATGGGGCAAAACTTTTTCCAACGCTGTTTCAAAAGCTGCTCCAGGCCCTCATGGAACAAAATGTGAATGAGACCAGGTTTTACAGTCTTGAGAAGGTGCTCCAAAGAGCACAGAAAACATCCTGCCCCCTCCCCGCTAGCCCGGAAAGCACCTTCAAAGCCCTCCCTGCTGCTGCCAGCAGTGGGTATTTGCCCACAGGGAGGTGAGTTTATCAAGTCCCAGCCTTCAGCGGTAGATCTCCAGTCTCACACGGGATGGGGATGATGCAACCGTGTCGGGGGCTAACACCCCCCCTCGCCTTTGTAAGACAAGAGATAGCGATGTCTCGCTGTCACAGCATGGTTATTAGACCTAATTACTGTTTGCAGGGTGCTTTGAAGTTGAAAAGTGCCAAGCATTATTATAATATTTTAAGCACTTTGATGATTAAAAACATGCAACCGTTGGGTAATAATCATGATTTACTAGCACTGTAGTGTAAGCAAGTTCATGTGAGAAGCCTGCATTGTCTCAGTGCCTGACGCTACTTAAAACCAAACAGCTCTCCTCTGACATAATGGGAATGCTGCAGCCCCAGCCTTGCCCCCCAGATAACGCCTGGCACGTCCCTGAGACTACCAGAGTGCAGAAAAAATACACCA